TATTCTTTTGAAGACTATTATAAAATCTAAGAAAGAAATCATAAAACACAAAAAAGTCGCAAGACAAACACAAACCAAAACAATTTGATTTTTGAAAAAAGGACACAACCAAAGTAACATAAGAAAGACCAACATAAACCCAACATAAAACGTTATCACATAACAGGACCTCTCAATGAAACAGCATGCAATCATACTCCCACTCCTGGCCTAACCCACCAGAGAGGATGCCCTGAGCATGCTCTATAGCCGGCCTAACCCACCGCGCTACATCCACGCTTTGTGACCACATTTCTATTTTTAATAAGAGGTACTCAAGGGTGAGTAACTCCTCAAAATAACCAAACTAAAACAAAACGCTTTTGTGAAAACGACTAACTAAATTCATGATTAAAAACCGAATTAACATAAATTTATAAAATGTAAATCATACTTTGCAGTATATAGATCATACACAACAACAAAGACGAACATCCAAAGACTAGATGATCCCATCACACTCGAACAAAAGAATGGCTAAACATAACCGACATGCCGTCCACAATCACGACTCAAAGGATCTAGAGTACGACTTGACTTCGCAGAAAAGGACTTCATTGAACTAGGCCAATGACCAACTCGATGTTCAAGTATACGTACAGATCCGAGTTACAAGGCATCCCTTCCACACACGATCTTCACGTCATTCCCATACGAGGCTGCACACAAAACAGTTCTCTACTAACACAGAAAAACCTGACATAGCAAACCATTTTGAAATCGGATTGATTTCATTGGGGATCACAGTCGTTGTCGAATGACGAAGTAATAATTTCCTGTCCCTAATTCCAGCGTCCTGGAACGTTCTTCAAGAGGAACCGGATAAGAAAATGATGTTCGCAAAGTTTCCAAATCACCCATTCCCAACTAAACCCGGAACAGCCCGCGAACATATTAATCACCCGGATTACACCAACACGAAAAATTTTCTTGAAATCACCTTACCCTCATTTCCGCAATATACGTTAAATACACCTAACAATACTAACGACACACGCAATTTTGTTGATGAGCGCGTTTTGATGCCAACACTTCATTGGACAGCTTATTATAATTTCACTAACCACCTTTGCCTACCATTAGCTATTACTCATGACAGTATCGAAAAGCACAAAAACATGTTATATAGACTCACCACAACACTAACACCTCGACAATTTACGTACGTTGGATATAAAAATTTATTAAAAACATTCACTGCACCCCGAGCTAACGAATTTGCAATAGAATACTACGATCATAATATCATCCGCTCTAATCAAGATCAATTTTTAGATGAAGACCGCTTCGCAAACCCGCAACTAACAGCAAATTTTTCATCAAAACATCATACGTATTCACACTTAACATTTTTGATAGAAAGCATGATCACATTATTTCAGAATCACTAGTTGATATTCAAGCATACGAGAGCTTCTATGATAATTTTCAGTTATTTTCACTAATCTTTCACTTTCTTTCACCACAGGAACGCGATTTGCACTGTTCCCACGATATTGATTTACACACCCCATCAAGACAATCTCACCATCGTTTTCAGTTTCTTAACTCCAAATACACGTCACCATTCTTCCTTAATTTTACATATTGCATTAAAGATACTAACCTCCACGGCATCCTCTGCAACTATGACCCAGTTACCCGAATGTATATATTCTGTCCCATCACAAAGACCTTCAATGCCGAAGAATCCAGACCCTTCCTTATCCCGCATGAATTTATCCAGCCTATTGAAATACCCATATTAGAATTCATTCACAATACTAAATATAATCATAAGATATATAACCTCATCCAAAACACACCTTACGAGTTTGCAGTAGGCACTGAAGAACTAAACACCATTAAAGCACTTCAATTGCTTTGGCCACTGCTACAAACTAAAAACATCATACGCATACTAGCCAAATTACTAACAACATCAGACATGATTCACGACATCTTACCCCACGGCTTTTTCCCAGAAGATTAAGGTGAGTATAATTTGAAATACTTTTAACTAATAAATTCAAATTTGTACTAACCATTTTCTATCAATGTTTGGTTTATGCTTTTAGTCTTCACACCACGATCATCTACAAAACAGAAAAGAAAAAGAAAATTAAAAACTTGTTAAATTATCTTAAAATTCATTTATTTCTTGCACTAAATAATGTAGTAAAATTCATAACAAATGTAGTACTTTTATTTCTAAATTATTTCCCCATGAATCAGTAAACTTGAAATACGATGAAAATTTATAATTTTATTTCCCCCAAAATGCAATAAAATTCAAATTCTATGCAATAAATTGATAAATTGAGAAAGCAGTACTAACCTTTTCAATATTTTCATTCATTCGCACAAGAATTCTATCCACACTCGCACAGCGCGCCCACGAAGAATTTTTTAAATAATGATTTTGGTTTCAAGCTTTCACTATCAACATCTCTAACACACGATAACAAATTTCAAACTTTTCTTTAACCCGGTTGGAAAGGAATTATTCATTAAACTAAACTAACCAACGCAGCTTACTGAACACCACAAATCATAAAATAACAGCATGACTAAGAAAAGAAAACCAACGGTACCCAAACCAGATTAACCCAGTTTAAAACTGGATAATTTATTCTTTTGAAGACTATTATAAAATCTAAGAAAGAAATCATAAAACACAAAAAAGTCGCAAGACAAACCCAAACCAAAACAATTTGATTTTTGAAAAAAGGACACAACCAAAGTAACATAAGAAAGACCAACATAAATCCAACATAAAACGTTATCACATAACAGGACCTCTCAATGAAACAGCATGCAATCATACTCCCACTCCTGGCCTAACCCACCAGCGAGGACGCCCTGAGCATGCTCTATAGCCGGCCAAACCCACCGCGCTGCATCCACGCTTTGTGACCACACTTCTATTTTTAATAAGAGGTACTCAAGGGTGAGTAACTTTTCAAAATAACCAAACTAAAACAAAACGCTTTTGTGAAAACGACTAACTAAATTCATGATTAAAAACCGAATTAACATAAATTTATAAAATGTAAATCGTACTTTGCAGTATATAGATCATACACAACAACAAAGACGAACATCCAAAGACTAGATGATCCCATCACACTCGAACAAAAGAATGGCTAAACATAACCGACATGCCGTCCACAATCACGACTCAAAGGATTTAGAGTACGACTTGACTTCGCAGAAAAGGACTCCATTGAACTAGGCCAATGACCACCTCGATGTTCAAGTATACGTTCAGATCCGAGTTACAAGGCATCCCTTCCACACACGATCTTCACGCCATTCCCAGACGAGGCTGCACACAAAACAGTTCTCTACTAACACAGAAAAACCTGACATAGCAAGCCATTTTGAAATCGGATTGATTTCATTGGGGATCACAGTCGTTGTCGAATGACGAAGTAATAATTTCCTGTCCCTAATTCCAGCGTCCTGGAACGTTCTTCAAGAGGAACCGGATAAGAAAATGATGTTCGCCAAATACCAACGTTCATCATCCATCCTTCAAATTGCAGAGAAGAAAGATAGTTCTAAAAAACTCTGTAAACCCCGGATGGGTGGAACCTGATCTAAACTACATTTTATTATTGGATAAATTAGATATTTTACCACTGTAAAATATTTAATATTAACCAATCATAATCCATCCAACTAACAACCCACTTATTTGTAAGTGCTGAAATTACTTGTAATTTCAGCACCAGAGAGATTTGAATTTAACCTAGAAATTAGTTACCTCTCCAAGAGAACTTCAGCAGTTGCAATAAGCCAGTATACCCTAGATCTATTGAGCCTAGCAGAGACTAGTTAAACACCCTGAGACTAGTAGATATAAGGGTAAGATTAGGATCGGTATTAGACTAAGAAGTTGCACGAATCTATCCGGCCGAAAATAAGATAGCGTGACGAGCAGACGGTGTACCCTATCCGAAATTACTCTATGAGTTAACCAAATCGATCCTAACTCAATACTGACATCCATTAGCAAAGTATTTTACAACGTTCCTTTGTAAATACTAAACAGGCAAATAGATTTCAAATTTTAGATAGCACCGCGACTCTCTAGTTTATAGCCAGTTTTCTTTCATTTTGTCTTAGCTTATAGCAAAATTTTCTGTTGATGCTTTTAGCCAGTTGTTCCTATGGGATCAGCAGGTTTTTTTGTTACAAGATTTTAGGCAAAGTTTTTGAGTACCTTAAGTAATTTTTGAATCCCATTTTTTTACGGTAATTTTTTTTCTGAGCGTTACCATCTATTCATTATGGAAATTAAATGAATGGAGTTGGGGTAGCCCATTCTTATGTTTCAGGTAATAGATTTTCAGAACTATTGCAACAAGTTTGTTCAGAACTTTTTTAGATCGCGATTTTTTCAACAGAATTCATTTCGCTTGAGACACTGTCTTTTGATTTTAGTGTTTTTCGTATTGTAAGTGGTGCGAAGCTCAGCTTCGTCTTTGTTTCAAGTTAACTTCCTTTCCTTTGTTAAAAGGGCTGCCAACTTCACTATTGAACATCAAAAGTGTAAAGGTCACGAAAAGTGTTTCGAAACTCGAATTTAATTTCAGATTTCCCAGCTGATTGAAAAGTTTACCCATTGATCCAGTTTTCGCAATCAAGTAATCGTCAATCATAAATAATCCCTGAAATTCAAAAAGCTTAAAGTTAAAATTCTCCAAAAATTAAGTAATTTTGTTTACTTGCGTTCATTGACCCTTTTGTCTTTGTCATTGGCTGTTGACTATGTTTTCACTTACTTTTTTTTAGCCTTTTCTGTTTCCTTGTCACACCACGCACAAAACACAGAAAATTTGCAAAGAAAAAAATTTTGCCGTTTAGTAGAATCAAAAAAGTTTTTTTTGCCGTTTTTATAATTTATGTGGTAAAACTTTTTTCTATGTTACTTGCACAGTAGCAATCGTCTGTCCTAGTAAGATGTGTCTTCATAGGCTTCCAAGAATGGCCATGAGGATATCGTGGGTCTTCTATTGGAGTACTGTGCAGACACGAATTTAAAGACGGAGCAAAACCAGATTGCTCAGCAGATGGCCAGGCTGAAGAACCACCAGATTTGTGTCAAGTCCATAGAACAGCACTACTCATGGTATGTTTGTTTGCAACTGTCACAAGTCGCCAACGCAGAATTGCTGTTGAACAATAATTATTTATCCTCAACTATATTAAAGCATGGTTTTGTAGCTCGAAAACCTGATCGGATCAATCGAGATTGATCTAGTATGTCTCTTGCTAATCGGTAATGCATTACAGGACTAGTATATGCGTTATCAAATCGGCATATATATAGTTTTCAGGTTAAAAACTTGCTTAATATAATTTGAATGATTTGATAGCTTGTCTTCCTTGGCCTGAGGTTGGACCCCTCCTTGGACGACAAAGGTCCTTGTTTTGAATTCAGTCAGAATGTTTTTTTTCCAAATTTAATGATTGTGTTTCAAAAATTTTCGGCCCATCGTTTGTCTGATTACGTTTTGTCGGCTAAGGTGCGCATCTAAGAGTTATCTTGTGCTGAAAGCAATTTTCATTGTAGTTGCAAGTCTTTGTCGTTTACTCCTTTAACTTGTAAATTTAAGAACTTTTACTACAGTTTTGCTTGCTTGCTTAAGAGTGATGAGCGTAATGTAGTCTGTTATATAGATCTTGGTGTTTTTTTTTCAGAAAAAAGTCTTAAAATGCTCTAATAACTACAGATGTGCATTCAAACATTAGTGCATGTATGAATGTACTTAGTTTATATTTGAACTTTTTGAATTCAATAACTGAAAGTTACCTAAATAGCACTCTCCAAATACGAACGTGGAAATAGTGCGAAAAAATGTCAACGATTTCTAGTTTCGAAAGTGGAATTTAATTTTTGATTTTCCAGCGGATAAAAACTTTACCTATTGATCCAGTTCTCTCAAGTTGGGTTAATGGTATCAAAAAATGCCAATCATAAGTTGTTCTAGAACTTCAAAGAGCTTGAAGGGCATCTGTTTTTTTTTCTTGGAAATTCGAAAGTTGACATTTTTTCAGCAAGTGTTTTTTTTTCTGTTTACTTGAGTTCATTACTCTTTTCCAACTATCAGTTGGCTAATTTTCGCTGAAAAGTTTTATTCGGCCCGATTGTTTTTGGCTTTTGTTTTTATCAGCCTAAATGTAGTCTTCGTCATTTGAGTCAAAGCTGAACTTTTACAACACCCTCCGGAAACTATAAAGGATAAAAACTATTAGGAGTTCTTAGAATTTTTTCAATTTTTTACTCTTTGATCAAAAATTGTTGGTTCTTTTTTAAGAGTACTGAACGTAAGAGTACTGAATTTTTAGACAAAAAACCATTAATTTTGATCAAAGAGAATATTCGACCGTTAAAAAAAGTATCAAAGCCCCATCAATGCATTGCATTTCTAATATTCCAAGTTAACGAAACCAGAACGCGCTGACATCCGAAAATTTTGTTCAACAAATTTTCTTTCAAATTTTTCATGTTCATGTTTTTTACTTATGTTTTGTCGTGGTTGTAATTTTTTGCTAGTTCGGTAGTGCCATAGGATTTTTGGTTTCTTATATTGATGTTGTATCGCTATAGGCCTCTGTTAAATGAGCATTTTGCATCTCTAGGAATCAAAGTGACCGATTTTATTGAACCTGATCAGCCGTTGTGTTTTACTGAAAATATAAATCAGTATTTGTACCTTTATGGTTGCTGATTTTCGAGATGGTAAACTAAATCAATAACTAAAAACTTAAGCAATCATGCGGCATGACGATAGATCTGTTTTTAAAAAGTTTCCTTGTAGTTTTGCCTGAAATAATAAAACAGATCTGTCATTCCGCTTAGGAATATTCCAACAAGAGCTTTAAATTGCTAAAATTCTACCCTTGCATATGAATTTCGATAATACTTGTCCAATTCTTTATTACCTAGTTGTGGTAAAGTTATTGAAAAACAAGTAAGTCACTGCTCTATTGCTACCTCGATATTTTCGATATACTTTATGAGCGCCAATTTGGATTTCGGCAAAAGTTCAGAACTATTGAAGCTTTAGCTGAATTAACAGAAAGAGCAGGGTTAGGAATTGAAAATAATCTGCTTTGCAGTTTTTCATTTATTTAAAAAAGCGTTTGATGAGCTGAATCATACAATCTTAATAGATAATTAGGAATGTTATGGAGCTCGGCAACTGCTACAATAGATTTAAAAGCCATCTATCAGACAGGCGACACTTTGATCAAACAGACAATACGGCGTCTAATTGACTCAGAGTCAGCAACGGCCGGTGTGCCTCAAGGATCTGTACATGGACTGTTCTCACTAGAATTCATAGCGAGAAAAATCCAAGGTAATGATTTTTCTGGTGAACGAAGCACCGTGTGTGAGAAAAGACGAAAAAATGAAAGATCGAAACTAAGTTCACAAAATGCTCAGGCGCTGTTTTATTAGTGATTTTTTCATAGTTTCGTTTTGCGTATTTAATGACATTGAATTCGGCTTTTTAATACCGAAATCTTTGTCTGTTCGATATTCTTTGTTGACTTGTAGTTTCCGATAAATACGATTAATATACGTATGAAATGAAATGTTGTCAATCAACCGGTTATCCGAACCCAATCTACCTCAGAACGGAAACGAGGCAGAAATATGGACCAATAATTCTTATTTACAAAACTGGTGTGTATCATGCAGCACTAAATTCGAACGTTTTTTTTCGCAGATGATGCAAACTGTACGTGCAATATCATTTTGTTCGAATGCTTTCACTCAGATTTGAAAAGTTGTCTAATTGGTTGAAGATTAATATGTTATCTTACAATTTCGATTAAAATGACTCTTTTTTTAATCTAGGAAAAATAGACCTTTTTACAAGCTTCGTGTTGTCTTTGATAATATTGAGTTTAGTAAGATTTATTGTAACTTTCTTGGTATTATAGAATCTAAATGTTTTTGCTTTGCTCAAATTTTGCTCTTGCGCTCCTTCAACCAAAGACAGCGGAACACAAAAAAAATCAAATTCTTGCTAACTCACAAATATAGGTTCAAAATTGTTGAATGTTTTGAGTGCAGATGATTTGTTACTAGTTGATACTAGAAAAATGTCTTTGCATGATATAAATGTTTTCGTTCACAATTTTAGGGACAATTTTAAACGTGGTAACCATGACTCAATTTGAAAAAAGCTTTCAAAGAAACTGAATGAAGAGTTTAATAGAAAATTAAAATATACTAGTTCCATCGGTAAGCAGAAAAGGAAATTGAAACCATTTGATTAGGTACTTCCTGAAAATTTTTTGAGATTGCAAGTTCAACCTCAGATTAATGACTCTCAGAACCTTCTGGCTTGCACGAAATCACGGTTTTGAAAATTTGAAAGTCTATTAAAGTGTTTCGCACAATCAAAAGCGTTCAAGCCAGGGAGAACCTACACAAAGCCTACGTCATTGATACCATAGCAAAACTACAGCCAAATAGAGTTTTCAACAACCAACTCCGAATAAATCAAGACAAGATGGACGAATTGGAGAAAACATTAACAAGACAACAACAAGTCCGGCTCGCCCAGATAAGGAGTGGTTTTTGTTCTCAACTCAACGATTTTCTTCACAGAATTAACGCCTCGGAAACAGACATGCTGATTCTGTAAGAAGGAAAAAGAGACTGGAACACGTGCTAGCGTGCCTCGCCAACCTAGCTCCAGAAACCCTGTGGACCGACGCAAAAAGAGGCGCGACCGAAACTGAAGGGCTGTGAGGGCCTACACAACATTAACATTTAATTCTGCAATCTTGACACGGCCACTCAGCCCAACCTTGATACACGAAACCCGTTTCTGAAATTCGAGCAACTGTTTTCCTTACCTCTCTATGAAGACAACTACACAGCACGAGCAACTGTTTTTTCCTCTTCCTTCAGGCAACCACTGCTTCAAAAGAATCTACTCCAAAGAATCAAAAAACTTCTCCATCCATCCTTCACAAGAACAAACTGAAAACTTGGAAACTCTCTAAGCCCCGGATGGGTGGAACCAGTTTAAAAGAATATTTATTTTATCCTGTTGTATTCTTGATAAGATATCTCTGTTAAGTACTTAGAACTAACCAATCATGATGCATAGAACTAACACTTAGAATAATTTGTACGGTTGAAACTATTTAATGTTTCAGTCAGAACAGAATAAATTTAACTTACCAAACAGTTGCTCTTCCCCAGAACAGATCATGATATCTGGCTTCGCAAATACCAGCATAGACTAGATCTACTGAGACTAGGAGATAAAAGAGTAAGATTAAGATTGGTATTAGACTAAGAAATTGCTCGAATCTATCCAGCCGAAAATAAGATAGCGTGACGAACAGACGGTGTACCTTATCTGAAATTACTCTATGAGTGAGCCAATCTGGACTTAAACTCAGTATTCTTGTTATCCGTTGTATAATTATTTCTTTTTTGTCTTCTTGTTTCTTGACTTGTTTCTTCTTATTTCTTGTGTAGTTCCAAGAGAAGTAGAGTAAAGAAAATAAAAAAAAAAGAAACACGAGGGGGAATTCAAAGTGTTTGTGATAACTGTGTTCTTTTTAAAGGGAGTTTGATTTTTTCATTTTGTCTTTACACTTTCGAGCGTAGTGTATTAGTACGATTTTTCTTTTTTCTAACCTTGCGCACGAATAAAGGTGTTCATTAAAAGTGTTCACTTATTTGGTGTCAATTTTGCTATGATCACGATTTGTAGCATTGGAAATTTCGTAGCATCTGTTTTCTGCTTTGTTTGTGGCTAGTGTTTGTGATTTATTAAGCGCCCGTGTCTAAGTGGTTAGTGCGTGAGACTCAGAATCGTTAGGTCACACAACGAATTCGAGACGTTTGCGAGGTATCACTAATTCTAGGCTTATTTCTACCTTTTCTTTTTGCACTTATAGAGCTTCTTTTTGTCGTGTTCTCGCTAGTGTTTGCGAAGTTTCAATCATTTCGCCTCTGTGTGTCCAAAACTCATTCGTGTTTGCGATGTTGTTTAGGGTTAAAAACTGTATTGACGAGAAGATCAAGCTGTACCTGCGTGATGCATTCGAACTGGGCAATACCCCTCTGTTTCCCATGCACTGTCACTCGCTCAAGGATGGGACGCAAGCTTCGTACACTGTGGACATGACGAACACCACCGCAGTCGCCGCTGCCAGTGAGTGGCGGAAGAAAACAACCGCAAATATTGAACTCAAATAGAATACAAGACCACACTCATGATTGACTTGCGCAAAAACAACTGAATGATCTTAGGGTCATGTTTCAGTTGCTATGAAGCTCTGCGGTTTTTTTTATTTTTCACTACCTTTGAGTTTTGATTTTTTTAAATGTTAAGAAGAAGGCAAACTCCAACGATCAGCGAAAGTGAAAAGGTTACGAAACACGGGATCATCTTCTAGTTTCGATTTTAACTTGCAGATTTCCCAGCGGAATAAAAAATTCACCTATTGATCCCCTTTCCCAAATTGGGTTAATTTGATTATCAAAAAAGTGTCAATCAGTTAAATATTAAAAAGCCTCAAGGCCATATTTTAAGAGTAATGAGCGTAGTGAAGACTCTTATATAGGTTTTGCTGGAAAAAAACGAACGATTCCTAGTTTCGAAAATGGAATTAATTTTTTTAGATTTCCAGCGGAATAAAAACTGTACCTATTGATCCAGTTTTCTCTAGTTTTCTTGGGTTCTTGTTATCAAAAAAGCGGTAAGCATAAATCGTTCTAGAAATTTAGAGAGCTTGAAGGGCATCGATTTTGTTTTTTAAAATTCTAAAATTCATGTTTTTTTTAATGTTAACTTGCGTTCATTGCTCTATTCCAATCTTCAATTGGCTATGTTTTCTAATTTGACTTGAAGGCGCTAAATGCCCTAAAATTAGTTAATTCTTTTGAAGGCCATATTTTTCAAAAAAACAGGCCATATTTTCAAAAAACAGTAACTGTTGGCCATGTTTTTTAGAAGTGTTGAAGTCGATTGAACTTTGGTAATAAGGTAATCAATTGTTTTTATTTCAGGCAGCGGCTTCCTTTTGTTTTTGACTCATTGCAAAATTGAGCCCAGAAGGAACAACATCATGGCCCGACTGCATGGACCGTGTTTTGTGCAGCAAGTCAGAGTCAATAACCAGATTCTTACTGCTCCAGTACCTGTTAGTCAATGTAGAGAATTATCACGAAGATTTTTTTCAACCTAAGACGCAACGAAAACTGCTCATTTGGCGGCCCTTTTGGTATATGTCAATTTAATCAATTTCAAACCAAACAAAATGTTTTATGGAAATGTCTGGGATTTAATGTTTTTCGCTTTTTTTTGCAACGCTTTGTATTTTTTTTTATTTTTCGGAGAAATTTCAAATTTTCTCGAAAACTACTGAAGCGATTTTCAAAAAACTGTCATCAATAAAAAAACCGGCTGCTCTTCTATGTGCCTACATATTTGGCTAGTTTCTTTTATTTTTTATCACGCGTTCTACGGTCTTCGAAAGTGTTAGTAGGGGGTTTTTTGGCCTACTTGTTTTAATTTTTTTTTTCATTTTCCCAAAAATTAAATGCTCAAATCAGAAATGAAGGTTTCAATCAAAATAAAAGTATGGGAGATCCCCTTCTTACAAGGCTGCTACCTAAATTCGATTGAAAAAAAACTTATGGCCTCAAGCAAGCCCATTTTTTGACATCTTTGTTAATTTTTAAAGCTTTTGACTTATTTCAAAAAAATACCCTGCCAAATCGGAGATTAAGTTATAACCGAAAAATAAAATCAGTTGCGCGAATTTTATATGCGCAAGCGGTTTCTCCCTGGCTATAGGAATCTTCCAATTTTGAAGTTTTGTCCGTTTTTTTGGAAAGTTATATATTTTTTCAAAGCTAAACTGTTGATTCTGAGGTTGATAGTTCTTTAGGACTACATTGACGCTTGGATTTTCGCTGCGTTAGCTGTTTTTTGCTTTGTTTTCAATGAAAAAAGCTGTTATGAACTTCGGAAAAGTTCACTTTTAATTTTTAACATTTTAAGAATTTTTGTCACTAGATGAAAACTACTTGCTGAATCTGATAAATAGGACTCACTCTAAAAAATCAGGGTACGCAAATCTTCAATCTAGAAATCAAAGTGCAGAAAGCAGAGGCTAGTCCGATGCTTTAGTCGAGAAAATTTAATGGAAGTAGGAAAAGTTGATCTATGTTTAGAGTCCTTTTCACTTTTTTCGAAAGGTAACCAACCAAATCTGAGATAATGCTTTCAAGTGAAAGAGCGAGTAGTATTGTTCCTCTTCAAGTAAGCGGTTAATCCCCGTACTTGAGCAGATAATTACTAGGGTTAAGCGTAGTGTCGTTTTTTTGAAACTGAAAATTACGCAAATTCTGTATCAGTACAACAAATGATTGAAATTATTTGTATCTGGAAAGTTACATAACTTTGTTTTTTTTGTCGAATTTTTGCTGCTTTATTGGTGGCTGGTGTTAGTAAAATTACAAGCGGTCTTAGATAAGATGAGAGAGCAAGATATTTCTTATCTCAATAAAAATTTGTTCCAGATGTTTTTTTTATAAATCGTTACCTTATTTCACTTTGTATTGCCAATGTAGAGCTTTTTTTGCATTTTCACCGCTTGTGTTTGTGGCTGTCTCTGTGTTCAATCTGATTAGGTAAGCATGAGATAGCGTTTCAACAATTCCTACGTTCGTTTCAAGTTTCAATGAACTTAGTGAAGATACATATAGGTCATTTTGATTTTTGTTTTGTTTTTCAGGAAAAATGGTCGCGCTGAAAAATATATATTTTTCGCGGTTTGTCTTTTGATTTCTTGGCTCTTTTTCCATTTCACCCTACCCGCGCCGGTGAGTTTTGGTAATTATTCATCTGTACACAATGTCCGGTTCTTACAAAAATTGGAATCTTAGGACATTACAAGCATTGCGACCTACTGTTTGCGTTGTCATCAAACATATTGATTTTTAGAAATGCTGATGTCTTATGACGAAAAGGTTTCACTTTAAGAAAGTACATCGATTATTTTTATTCTTCACATTACAAGCATATTTGGTCTTCTTAGTTAGCCTTGTAAAACACATATTGCATTTCAGTTCTCATATTTTGTCTTCTCTGTATCATTACTAATATTATTGTGATAATTTATAAAACTGGAAAATCATGGTGAAGCTACCACAGGACAAACTGAATTGCCGACATTGCGTCTCCGCAACGAAAACCCGACAGCTCCTGCCAATCAGAACTCAACCAAAAAACGGCTTTGTTTTTTTTTGAGCCCACTTTACGAGTAGAATAAATAACATTAGAAGTCAGAGCAGAATATAAAACGAGCTGTCAATGAGATGATTCCAGCTATTGCTGAAACCTTGAAGACGGAGCTGTTCTCAACAATAAATTCAATTTCGACGGAAGAACTTCAAAATTTTTGTTCTGAAATTTTGAACGAAAAGCGAAAGTCGACTTCCCTGAAGCTAAAGCTTGCCTAAAGTCACAAGTGGAAGCTGAGCAACTTGAATGCTATAACAAGGGATCAGAATAATAGGTATGGAAGAAGACGCTAGCGAGGATTATAATGTAACGATGACAAAAGTGTTGAAAATGGCCAAAGCAATAAGCGGAGAAGTTTAACCAGATAGATTTGTCATTAGCTCACCGGCTTCCATCGAAAAGAATTGGACCCAAGACTATAATAGCTCGATTCTTCAAAATCAAAGTCTAAAGATTGTGCGATTATGCAAAGACCTGCCAATTCCGAGGGTGCGCTTCTTCCACCTATAAATATGATCGAGCTGGAGACGTTTGGACTCGAGATGGAGATATTAATTACATTTGAAAAGCCGATGGAGTAGTACACCAAATACACAGTTTCTATGACAGAGGAGGTTTTCTCAAACAAAACATTAATAATGTGATGAGTCAACCTGATGACAGTCAACCTGATGACAGTCAACACAGTCAACCTGATGACACTTGAATCTTCAGTGATAAAACGTTGTCATAATGATCAAATATCAGTGATAGTATCTGTTAAAAACTTAATAGAAGTAACTGTAATAAAATCATGCTAATTGTTGCTATTAAAAAAGCTCTGAAGATCTGTTATTTTTGCTTAGTAGCCTCGAATTCGCAAAAAATATACTTTGCTGAACAGGAACATGGTTAAATGAAATTGATAATAATGAAATTTTTAAATAAACCGATTTCCCACCATTCACAAACAACAGATTAACAAAATAGGAGGTACAATGATTCAACTAGATTATAAAACCTTATTAATTGATCAACTGGAGTCTGGTTAACCAGAAGCGGTGCCTGAGATAGAAGTCTCTTTAGGGGAAAATGATAATTAGCGTCTGCTATGTACCACCGTGTTATAAAAAATTCAAATTAGCTGAAGAACAAGATTAAGAGTTAGAATATTTTGCTGATCTCAAATTACCCATTGTTCTGGCAGGAGATTTTGATACTGACATCCATTAGCAAAATATTTTACAACGTTCCTCTGTAAATACTAAACAGGCAAATAGATTTCAAATTTCAATAGAAACAGGCAGATTTATTTCAAAAGAAAGTTTAAAAGCCTTGCGAAATTTTTACGGCAACAAAGTTTCAGCATTCCAAGAACTTTGCTCATATGATCTGCCTAATTGTTGCATTCGATCTGTACATTGAAACATTTTTCTGAGATATGATTTTTTTTGTTCCGACCATTTGGAAATTGGAGAGGAAATTAATATTCGGGTGTGTCTTAATATTTATTGGTTTGGGTCAGTGATATGTCATATTAATGACCTTTTGATCGTGATTCGAACGACATAAAAATTTCCAAGAATTTTTTCACAGTGGCGAGAAAAACCGTTTTGAAATTCTTGGTCTGATTTCGAACTAATTTGGTGTGAGCGTGTAGGCTTACAGTAGCTTATTTAAGCTTACTTTAAGCCGGAAAAACTGTTTTTAAATTAGCTTTTGGAGTTTTCAGCGCAATTTTGCAAACAAAGTTAAAAAATTCCAAAAGTTCTGCTAAAAGTTATTGAAATTTTCAAAGTTTTTTTTGTATAATTTAAATTTTTTTTAGTCAATTTTTTTCAAAAACTTTTTCAGAATGGACTTTATTACTATGACTGTCAAATATGTCGAAGTTTTTTTTTCTTTCAGAACTTTTTATCACACCATGCAGAAAAAAAACTACACTAAATTTTAAAAATATATATATTTTTGTTTTAGACTGGTCGGAACATTCTGTGCTAATTGCACAGTCACTGGCTATCCTTGTTTTTTGATCCGACCATTTGAAAAATTGGGAGAATTTTTGTTTTTTTTCCTCGCAAAATTGGATACCACAAATATTCATTGGAATGAATCGAGTGATGTATCATTTTGAAGCCCTTTCTATCGTTATTCGAACGACGCTAAAAAAAGTTTCAAACATTTTCTCACCGTGTCGAGAAAATTCCTTCGAAATTTTTGATTATTGTTCTAATTTCGAACTAATATGGTGTAAGCGTGTAGGCTTACAATAGCTCATATGAGCTTACTTCAAGCGGCTGAAATTTAATTGTACTGAAATAAATGTGATTTTTTGAGTTTATAGCGCTTTTTTAAAAACAGATTTAAAAATTCCCAAAATTTCTGCAACAAGTTTTGAAAAAATTTACACTCATTTTTTTGTTTTTCGAGTTTACTTTCTTCAATTACTGTTTTCCGAATGGCCTTTAATACTATGACTGTCAAATATGCCTAAGTTTTTTTCCTTCAGATCTTTTTAACACGCCATCCTGAAAAAAAAACAACAGTAATTTGAAAAAAAAAAATTGTTTTTTTTTGAAGACTGGTCGGAACATTCTGTGATAAATGCACAGTAATCGGCTGTCCTTGTTTTATTTTTCAATTAGTATAGTAATTTAAAATAATTAGAAGATAATTCGCGATGGTTTGTTTTTTGATTTTTCAAATTTAGGCTCAACAACAACCACAGAAAGACTTAAATTCCTTCCATGAAGGTATAAAGAAATGTAATAACAAAATCAAGACGTACAAGTAGAACAATTATATTTAATAAACCAAGAGCACGAGTTTTGCATTGAGTATTCATTCGCTGTGATATTGAATAGAAATGTTTTAGTGTTTCTCCTGAAGGTAGCGGGACTATCATAAATGTCG